TTGGTATTGAAAGCCACACCTTTGTACTGATGATCAGAACTTGCTGTGCGAAAGAATGGTGAGTATTTATCGTAGCACCAGTGAGCGCACCCCTTGTAGCAGTTATTGGTATAACCAGACACTAAAAAGCCGCTGTAGAATGAGTTGTCGCAGATCAGCAACTGGTATGAATAATACTGGGAGGCCTCCACAGCGTCCCATAATCCATAAGTGTTGGCACCTTTCTCATATGAAGCAGCGGCCGTGAGGGGTTCATCCAATTTCCTTTTGAAATATGCCTTTTTACCAGATTGGTGATCAACAAATATTATTTCTGTAAACTTCAAAAGAAACAAAGAAAAAAATAGAGACAGGGTTTTTACTGTAAAAAATAACTAACAATACAATATCACGTGATATTTGTACTGATTCGCACCCTATTTGTACTTCACTTAGTGCATTTGGATGACAAAACTGAATTACTAGAGCACATTATGCATCCGGTCTCTGTAACATGTGTTTTTTTTTTTTTCAGAGCGGGGTCGTTTACCCTGCTCCCAACCCCCCAACCTTAAGGATCAGGGGATCACTCTTTGTCCAGTCTCTACCTTTCCACCTGTTCGGCATGGGTGACCCTACCAAGAATGCAAGACTCCAGCTGACGTAGCTCCAGGGGTCATTGAGACACGCAAACTACCCCACCACAATAGGGTGGTGACCCCACTCGAAGCAGCAGAGGACTAAGCATATTCCGTTACATCAAGAAAACATAGTTAGACATTCGAGCAACGGCGAGCCACCAATGCTTCTGATTTCTTCGGGTCAGGTACGAATGTGAATCAAGTTGTTTAATGGATACAGTTTTTCAATGGAGATTTATCAAGACTCCATTTGAACTTTATCCTGTATAATTATCCCTGATAATTAAAAGGGTTTGGAAAAGTAACCACGGGTGATTGGGAACTTACTGGGATGTTGTTGCAGTTACTTCTGTAGCCGACAGTTCCATAAGGAAAAGAGGCATTGTATGTGACCTCAGTCCTGGGTTTGACATATTCATCAGTAGTGTAACACATGGTCCATCCTCCATTGTATGACATCATATCACAATAAGCCTGGAATGCGTTGGAATGGCTTCCTCCATCCGAGTCCAACCAGTACATACCGCTTTTATCTTTACCCTGGGTTTTGATTTTATGGCAGTCTGTTCCAAAAAATGGACCTGATAAGGATACAGAAAACATGTCGTAAAATCGCAGTCATCAACAAAAAGATATGACATAGCATATTACCACCTCTCTTGGTGTGAGACAACGGTTATCGATAATTCTGAGTACCCGCAGAGATTCAAATAGCAGCCAGCTGTTATAGTCTACTAACCCAGTCAACAGTTGGAGGGCACATGAGGTTCATACCTGAAAAACATGTTGCTTACTGCCGAGACCAGTAGTTTCAAAAGTATCAGTTCTAGACTCATTCTGGCTTCCGTGGGACGAAGCAACTCGAAATATTTGGATTGTCCGTCACATGAAGGCTATTTCCTAAAGCAGTTTCATCTGATTTCCCTAAACAGTTTATCGGTACTCATACGTGCTCTCGATTGAGAAACACTGTGAGAGGTAAGAATTAAGTGAGAAATATGTCAACTTTGAGCCGAGATGTCTGGTAAAGATTTCTTATATTCTACATTTTTGGCGAACATCAGACAAAAAGTCCCTGGTAAAAATACTTTCCTTTATTGAGACCATTACCTATATCGCAGAGTTTTCCTGTGTATCCCGGAGCGCATTCACATCGATAATCCTTGTCTCTGTACTTGGCCACACAAATACTATTATTCATGCAGGGATCGCTTGAACATGGACTCTGCATTTTACATAAAAAGTGGGGTAAGGAAAAATGTTAGTGGATATCCAATAAAATTCATTTCCGCCAATTAAGAAATTCTGTGAAATTAAAAGAGATTGGTTAAGGCGTAATTAATCTTACAGCACAACTATCATCAAACGAGGGGTGATTTTGGCTGAAAGGCGGGTGGATTTTACCTTTTTTAGCGAGACATTGTTTTCACTTGTTCTACACTCACCGTTATACTGAAGTGATGAAACATCGGACTGTTAAATAATTTATCCGAGTTTTTGTACTTGTCAGATGGAAGCAATTCACACGACAATTTTCCGTTGATATCAGAAAATACAGCGAGGTTGTAAGAAAAACACGAAGGAACTTCTAGGCAGGCAAATCCACACTCGTCGCCATGTTGGACAAGTTCTGAACCGATTTTTGTGATGTTCAAGTAGGAAAACTTCTGAAGCATGTATTCCACAAATGAAACTCCTCCAGAAAAACTTTGACTGAGCCCTGAATTGACAAATAACAGAAACATTTCAAATTCGTTATAATCAGATAATGACTAGCTTGTGGCAAAAAAAGACTTTATCAAATAGGATTTTGATAGTACCCGGTATATTTGAATGTCTGGTACCGACAGAAATTCTTTTTTAAAACATATCAATCATGTATACATATATTAGATGCAGCATTGTAAACTCCAAATGTCACGGTCCAAAAGTAGCAGGACAACAAGATGTAATGAATTTAATCTGTTAATGGTTAAACTAGCTAGTTTGTCAGGGAAGGCTTCAATTGAAAAAGGATATTGAAAATCATATTTTAATGCCACAGCCGCCTTTTTTGCTGGGCAATAAATATGAATGTAGTATAATTTTTCTGATTACAAGCATGGGCAAATGTTTCCACAAGGGAATACCTGTTATGTATAATTTTGTTGAATATCAACTGTCTTTATATGAAAAACCAGATCAATATATTCGAAAGATTTCGTACATGCACACCTTGTTATTGTTAGCGTTCTTCGTTTAAAGAAATTGCGAAGAGGTAAGCATAATTTAATTGACGAAAAAAAAAAAACTCACCATGAGAATTCTTTAGGGAAAAGGTGACCAATAGCGTTATCGCAACTACCAATACTTCCATCCGTAATACCCACTATTTTGAGCCTTTTGCCAAAGTAAGCTTTATGTTCGAATTAAGCATAGGAACTTTGTTACACATTTCTTCATACTGAAGCTTGCCATGGAATATTTAACAGTTTATCTGAAAACGCTGCACCTGTGATTTTCCTCTCTTCAATAACCTAACTTTTAACTCAGCGTGTAACAAAAAAGCAGCTACTCCAGTGGCTGTTTTCATGAAGGCTAGATGTTTGTTTCAATATAAATATAATTTAATCGCTTTGTTTTTAGAAAAATGATAAAACAAGACAATGTGAAAAAACTGAGCAGAATTGATGTATTTATTGCCGGACAAAAGTTCACACGATATATTCTCATTCTGATTACGTCCTGCTGCTAAATCCATTGAATATTATGCCAAGAGAAAAATCGTAATTGAATAAGGTGGAGAGTGACTCGATCAACTCATTTCCATCGCCACAAGCGGTCGAATTAGATTGAGGCAAAAGTTTCTCCTATCAATCTTCCTTTCTTACTCAGTTGAGTCCTCTTAAACCCAAGATACATGATCCACAAGTTATGTTACGCAAAATTTCAATTCTGCTCTGCAAATACCAGAAGTTACAAGTTTTATTATAGGCTGAATTATGCACGAATTTTGATTGATTCTTATTTATAATCTATCGGAGGACAGACGCCTAGATGACGTCACCATTTAACTTTGTTTTTCATATGAAACAAATAGGTTCCATGATGCCTTGGGTCTGTTCAGTAATAGATCACATAAGACGTCTAATGCGATAAGAACATCGTCGACACACTCGATTGCGCTTCGAGTGCCATATTCTCCCAATGTCATCAGCTATGATTTTCTACTGTAAAGACGCACAGCAACATGGAGTTTATTTGTTAAGTGGACCTCTCAGCGCAGACCGACGCTTATCAGTCTGTAACTAACTACGCGATGGCCGTTTATATCAAAAGCCACGCCCTTGAAGCTTTGCTTAGCGGCGGTCGTACGGAAGTATGGAGATAACACGTCTGCGCACCAGAAGTCACACCGCTTGTAACAGTTTCCCGTGTAACCAGACACGAAGAAGCCGCTGTAAAATGATGTGTCGCAGATCAGCAGCTGGTAGGAGTAAGCGTTGTTTGTTCCTATACCGTCCCATAGTCCATATGTACTTGCAGGTTTCCCATAATTAGTAGAGGCCCTTATGGACTGACTAGTACGGCGCTTGAAGTAAGCTGTTCTTCCAGTTTGGTGATCAACGAAAATGATTTCTGTAAACTGAATGAAAGATATCTAGATGACAAACTTAGTGATCTGATTTCATTCCCATACCTAGGTTATTTTTTTTCGGCTGGACTAAGGACATCAATGCTCATCTGGCCCGCCAATCAAAACCGTTTCCTTTTTCGATGGAAGGCTGTACTTAAAACCATTTATCAGAGGGCCAAAAGAGGAGACAAAACGATTTCAATTAGCATCTTCCATTCTCTCGTGCTCAAAAGTATGACGTTTAAGTGAGCTGTGCGAAAAACACGATGTTGTCCGAACATTATTAATATTGATCGTGCATCCGTTCCTCATGGGGTCTAAAGTTATCTTCAGACATTTTGCTAATAAAACCAGCCTTTTATCGAAAATATTAACTGAGTGACTGAAGAAATGTAGCTTACCGAGATATTATTACAGTTTGTCCTGTAGCCGTCACTTCCATAGGGAAACTGGGCGCTGTATGTGAATTCGGTCTTAGGTGTGGCATATTCATCGGTAGTGTAACACATGGTCCATCCTCCATTGTATGACGTCTTGTCACAGTAGGCCAAAAACGCGTTGGAATGGCTTCCTCCATCCGGGTCCAACCAGTACATTCCATCTCCCTGAGAAGGAGCTCGTGTGTTTATGTCACGGCAGTCAACTCCTACAAATGACAAAACGTGTGTTTAAGTTTACTCGGGGACTCGTATTAGCTCTGTTTGTCACGGCCTCACAACGGGATCGCCATATTGCTAACCTTCTATTCAGGAATCGGTAGGAACATCTTTCTCTCGAATCTCTTACCTTTCGCCGCTTAAAAGATCTAAGATGGCGGCAATATGTTCGGGGAGAAACTTAATTCTTAATTATTCCGTGGCTTAGAAATCCGCCCTTATAAGGTAGTCTGGAGATGTTCTGTATATTTTAGCAACAACAAAAACAATATCGATGTCAATGGTACAAAATACGTAGACATGTACTAAACATATGCAAATTAGTGAATTTAATATGACACATTGTGTACCTAGTGTTATACGTTCGCACTGTCTTCCATCAAATCCAAGCGCGCATTCGCACTGATAATCATCATCTTTGTACTTGGTTACACAAGTTGCATTGTTCATACAAGGGTCGCTGGAACAAGGACTCTGTTTGAATAAAGATCATAAAATGAGCCTGTGAACGTGAGAGAAAGTAGGTTTTTGTAATCAAATTTCTTCATATCACTCAGTTTTCTCCACTTTAACGGGCGATCTCTGTAAGAGCGGTCCAAGGCGTTTCGCTTCAGGAAAAAGTTTTGCCTCAAAAATTGCTCATTAAACTATCTTTGGTAGTAAGTAAATAAAACCACATTGGTTTCTGGAAATATGTCAAAAAAAAAAGAGATTTTGAGAGCTCTCAACAATCAAAGCTGCAAAAGGCCCTTTTTTGACCTCGCTAAATAAGGCAGCGATAACGTGATAATTTTTGCTCGGAATTCTAGCCTAGTTCTTCCAGGCTAACAGCCGTGTTTGCACTTGATGCGAGCAGAGAAATACAGGACTGCAGATCAGTGAGAGGAAATGTCCAAGATCCAGTGTAAGGATTCAATGCGTGCAATTGGCACCATCGCCGACGCTTTACACATTTGAATCCCATGTAAGTAGATTGATGGGAAAAAATGCCCCCGTCCTGTAATATCTGAGTTTGTTCAAAAAGCTGGTGAACCTTGCCCACTGGTGTGCGATGTCATGGCGCTAAGAGATGGTAAAGCGTTATTCCAAGCAGTCGTAGATCGTGAGCAGAATTGTAAGACAGCTTTCGATCTCAAGCCCCCTCGTCGCCTATCAGAAAGATCCCTATAAAATCTTGAGTACTTATGTGAATAGATTCTCAGCCAACGCACTTAAACACACACATCAGCCATTTGAAAACCTCCCTGATAGACAAATAAAGAAGGCAAGAGCGCAAACAAAGAGTGAGGGGCCCGGAGTGCCCATTGAAAAAATTCCGCGACACACAATCCGTATGGAACAGCGTCAGCCAAACCACTTCTGAGAGTTCACAACCAGGCCATGTTACTATCAAGACTAAGTGTAGGGCACTTGCACCATCAAACTTACAAGTAGTGAGGAGTTAGTCATGCCTAACGTGGTGCGCACAGTAGCCATGTGTACCATCACTAGTAAGACATGAACCATTGCAAAGAAACTGAATTTCAACCGATAAGTAAATCCACCATGTGGAGAGTACAAAGTTCAAGAGGCCACACTGAGGAAATCAATGCGGAGTCAAGAAAATACTGTAGCTGAAGGTGCGGATGGTTTAAAGTTTTCTTTTTTCGAACTATAGACGAACTAGAACGCATACGAGTAGAGCTTTGTACAGCGTCAGCAATGCTGTCAATGCACGCATTGAAACCTTGCATTTCCTTTAGCTGATCTGAAGTCCTGTAATTCACTGCTGTCGTCAAGCGCAAACACGGCTGATAGCCTGGAAGAACTAGACTAGAATTCCGAGCAAAATATAGTTTAAGTAGTGTTCATTACTGCAAAGATCGCATTCATATTCACAGGTTCGTTACAACTCAAGCTATACTAAAGGTAATTTAGCTGGGCAATACCTAGCCCAAGTTTCTTAAGAAGACCAAGCTGAAACTGACTTACAATCTTCTTTAACTCGTCAACAATAAGAGATATATGAGGACATTGCGATTTTTCTAAGCGAGGGATGGAAAATTGCAGAGGTGCCACAGTGGACAGCGTCTTTCACAGTTTGTCACACGAAGGCACGACATATCAAATTTGCTAAAAAACATTTTAAACACTTCCTTGTCAAACAAAGCCTTAGGTGCTCAAAATACTGAGCAACGGAGAGGAAAACAAAAGCTGATCTCTGGCTTCTTTCAAAGATATATATTGAGAAAGTGTTGGAAAAACTTGTTACACTACTTTGCTGCCTGCTCGAGGGCTCACCGACTTTGTAGCCGCATCATTTTTCATAAATTCTGTGTTTACGATGCGAGCTATGAGTGCATACTCGAGATAGTTTTGCGACGTAGTCAAGGGAACGACTTCATTGAAATAGCGAATACAAATAGAATTATATAAATAATCGAAACAAAGAGCAAATGTCTTACAAAAAAATGAGAAGAATTTAAACTTAAAGATCACGAAACCGTTTAGTTTGGACTTCCAAATCAAAGTTAACGAGGTTACCAAGGTCTTTTGCAGTGTAACATACCCTTAACTATAAATGCGTATCTACACAGCGTGGGTAAAACCTGATGAAAAATGAAGATGTACTTACTTTTATACTCAAATGATGAAACATCGCGCTAGGATTAAACAAAGCGGAGTTGTTGTATTTATCGCTTGCTAATATTTCACAGGTTATATTCCCATCTTGATTACGCATCGCCGCAAAGTTAACTGAGAAACATGCTGAATTATCTAAACAAAGCCTGGCACAGTGTCCAACATCTTTGACTGAAGTGGAAACCAGAGGCGGCAAACTAAGATGGTAAAACTTGTGTGCGGCAAAGTTACCGAAGGCAACACTGTACCCTCGCTTCAAGCCACTCCTACCATCGATGTAGACCTCAGAAACTGCTTGATAAAGGCTGGTTACGAAGAAAGCAAAAAGTGAAATTTTGAGGTGAGAATTAAAGGAACTATTCATATCTTGTTTTCTAGTGTTTGCAATTACCAATTTTTAATTATAAATTATTAAGCAAACGGGGCACTCATGCAGGCAACCGAGAATAATGAAATTATGTCATAACAACCGTACGTTGTTTGGTTGTGAAATTGGTTGTGAGTCGCAAAATCTATGTACGAGTGTGTAATGGCCTTCAAAATTATTCAAAAATCTATAGAAAATATTTTCATGATGCAAACAGGGGTAAGTTATGACGACAGCACTACCTCTGGTTAACACACGAACAGCGCAACGACAAAAACCAACAAATTTGACAACAAATTTGATTATCTACTTTGATATGTAAAATGCCTGAAAGAAGGCTACACTTATCAACTACTAATTGGAATTGTCAGTTACCTCTTTGAGAATCTTCATTAAAGGTGCACTCTCCCGCCCATTAAAGTAAGCGCGACTTCAGTTTGTCGAGTTGTTCTTGTCATAACCGATCGTGTATTGACATAAAACTGATATTTTCACCTGGCCGTATTACGGCGCTTTTTATGATCAAGATTCGGCTTAAGTCAGGCAATTCGCCTCAGACAGAAAATAAAAATGATGAAATTTCTTCTGGAGAAAATTGATAATTTGATCGACAGAAACCCAAAAAGCCGCAGATAAATGCGAAAGTCACAGAAATTTTTGGCAAAATTTGTAGTGAGAAGAAAAAAACAGAAATAGTTAAATAACAACCAAGGGAAGTTAAAAAAAAATTAAAAGAAAAACAAGAGATTGAAAACACCTGACGATGTGTGATCGAGAGCAGTAATTAGATTGACTGGTAAATTCTTCAGAAACTCCAGTAACTTTTTTAATATAACAGAAAGTCGAAAACTGGTGAAGGGTGGAACGTTTATGTACGGCAGGCAACACCTGACAGCCGTTAACTGTAGAGCACCGGATAATATTTTTGAACCCGCAGCAAAAGAAAACAACAAACTCGTAGTCAGGATTTTTCTCGTTAAATCAGCCAGAGAAACTTGCAGTCAACCTAAATGTTTGTGTTGGCAAGTCCAATCTCTTGAGATAGCATGGTCCGTAAAATGATTTTCAATTTTCAGATTTCATCTATACGGAACTCCTGTCGCAACTTAATTACATAAAACTATTATTTTATTTATGGGTAGAGAAGCTTACCAGAGAACCAAGATCTAGATTAGCTGTTTATAATGTAAAATAAAAATTGTAAACCCAAGATCTTTGTCTTTACAGCACCTGAAGTATTTGAGTCGATGCAATGATGAGAGAGCCTATTTCGACTCAGTGTCATTGAACCAAAACTAAACCCAATCATCAGCCGTCTAACACAACGAAGGCGAATATCACACCGAGCCAATAAGAACTCAAAGTAACAACTAACATACTGCTTGAAACGTGGGAAAACGCAAAGTAATATATCGTGACTATTAGGTGTTGGTTGGGAAGGTAGCTTTTTCTTAGACGCCGTAATCCGAGAGCGTATATCTGAAGCATCATCGGAGCAACTCGAGAATTCTTTCGAAGCTCAATTAACAAGCCTGACTCAGTACAACTGATTGATGATAATTGCAGCATATCGTGCAGTTTACCAAGAGTAATCTCCGTTTTTCTCATGATCATTATAATCCAAGTAAGTATATCACAAGTTATGACAGAAAATTACTCAAGGATGTTGACAAGTGGCAATCCCATCGCAATGAGTGATAAGGGATATTGATCTGGGAAGTTCATTTTTCCTACACAGAGAAACCACCATTCCACAGAACTTTAAATGTTAACTGCTAGTTCCGGCTTGGTTTTCCTAGTGATATAATTATATCTCACTTGCCATGTAGATCAGCAAGAAGAAACGACCTGATTGCGCCAACAATACGTTTTAATCAGCCTCAGAATTATTTCCCGTGACTGTCAGATTAACATTTGACCGTGGGGCGTTTAGTGTTTTCGGCAGAAATCATATCCAAAATTTCCATCGTCAAATGTACCCATCACTTCTTGAGAAATGCATTCAACTTTGGTGTGACAAAGAATCATTACTGACAAGAGACCTGTTTTCATCATGTTCTTTTGTTAGTAATCATCTCAGACTCTAGCCACTCTTGGGCTCTAATCTTGCTGTTAATCTATTTGTATGAAGCGTGATTCTTTGTCCAGGCAAGTCATGTGCTTGAAAAATGAGTCGTTTTATGGGAAATCCACCTAGAGGTAGTCGTTCAAAGCATCGACCAACACACTTGTTCCATCTCGGCCCCGTAAGGAACCTTCTTAAGGATGTCAGTATAATTAAACGACGCTCAGTGGAAGTGGATTGTGGCCTGCACCACTCATCTCTCATAACAAACATAACAAACATGCTTCACTTACGTTTTATTCAAAGTGCTTTATTCAATCAATGATGCTGCTACATTCAATGTTTTAAATGACCGTTTAATACAGATGGAAGACAATACAAACAGGCCATTGGGACTTAATAAAGGGTGACCGCGACCGCTCAATGAAGGTAAAAATTACTGTGATTAAGAGGAAAAAATTTCGGGACTTAAGTAACCGGCTGTTTGAAACAAGGTGATCGCTTAAAACAGAGTCGCTTAAAACAGGTTCGATTGTATAGTGATTCGATTTCGCATAATCCTGCCTTGATTTAGCATTAAAAAGGTTAGTAATTCATAAAGTGATCACTCAGAAGAGACAACTTTACTATGGAAATAACTTTCTTAGCGTAAACCAACACTGATGAGCTTCTTGGTAAGTGTTCCATAACCATTGACGTTAAAGGCAACTCCTCCAAAAGACGGATTGGTTGATGCTGAACGGAAATATGGTGACTGATTATCAAAAACCCAGTCGCTACACACTTTATAACTGTTACCAGTATACCCGGATATCATGAATCCGAAAAAATAAGGACCATGGCAGATCAGCAACTGATAGGAATATTCGCTGCTAGTTCCAACGCCATCCCATAATCCATAGGAAGCAGCACCACTTCCATAATTAACAGCGGCCGTCAGAACACCCTGATTACGGCGTGTGAAGTAAGCCTTGGCTTCGTTTTGGTGATCGATAAATATTATTTCTGTAAACTGATGACAGAGAAAATAACATTTGAATGATATTAATTGGGCGTCACAAAAACAAAACCAAAGTTATTACGAAAGCCAATCAGCATAAAAGAAAATACCCAGAAAAGCCACGAAGAACTCAACACAAGAACAAGTAAACCGCCTAAAGCGCGGGAAACGCGGGTGACTAAGTCCTCATTGGTTTATTTTTTGCATCTGATCGGTTGAGAGAGTGGTGCTAGTTTTCTAAAACAATCACCAAGCAAAGTAAAGAAAAACCAATCTAGTCCAGGATTAATTACGAAATTCTCATGAAAATTGCCTTACGAACCATTGAGTAATGAGTCAGCAGACTAATACATTGTTGAAACAAGTCAGGTCACCTGGGCGTTTTTGTGCTGCACGGCCAAATCTGAACCAAACTCTGAGCAGCAATTTCGCCAAGACAAATTTACCCACCCTCCCCAGACCATTAAAGGACAATAGCAAATGCCACTTAATTAAGTTACCGGGATGTTGTTACAGTTGGTCCTATAGCCGTCACTTCCATAAGGAAACTGAGCGTCATAAGTGACTTCAGTTTTAGGTGTGACATATTCATCGGTAGTGTAACACATGGTCCATCCTCCACTGTATGACGTCATATCACAGTAGGCTTGGAATGCATTGGAATGGCTTCCTCCATCCGGATCCAACCAGTACATGCCATCTTTTAGAGAATCAACACGCTTTTGCATATCTTCACAATCTACTCCTGGAGCTGATCAGAAAAAACCAAGATCATTACATTCATGCATTAGGACTATATCCACAAGTATCACATCTATTTTCTGGGTCAAGCTGAAGAAAAAATGCATACTCTG